CCTAGTGTGTGGTAAAAACCCCTAGGATATCGAATTTCGTCCATCAACAAGTCAGAAAATAAAAAAGGCTTAGTAAATCCACAGGTCGTCTGGAAAAAAGTTATTATAGGTTATGGAGAGTTGCAGCTCGAAATCCTGAAGGAACACAGCGATGCAATGCATAGGAAAAATCTACTTGTCTCTGTCTGAACATCTACTTCGTTCCGTTCCCCATCAACATTCACGCTCTGTGTGAGTAAGAATTCGAGTTTTCTTCATAATCCCTTTTTCTTTTGAATAATAAAAGGTCAAGTCGATGAATTACTGAATTTTCTTCCGAAGTGGAAACCGTGCGATTAATCGAAACACGCAGACAAATTTAGATGAAGCAGATCGATCAACGTCAGACAGGAAAAACTAAAAGTCTCGAAGGTGAAACAAAGATTCGGTCTAACAATGAACCAAGATCGTAATCTCATTAATTGTGAATTTTTCAAAACTATAATTAACAGTCTAACGAGCCGCTTTCGCCTAATTACGTTAAAGCTTTCCCAAAAAGCCATATGTAGGACAGGGGGGGTGCAACAATCGACTCTTACCACATCGGCACTAAGTCCGCAGTAAAAAGCCCTTTAGTGTCGGCATTAATTTTCACATAAATTTTAATTATGTTCAATACATGGACACAAACACAGAAGTTGCGCGTGTCGCGACCACCTTACTTAACGGGCGGAGTGAGGAAGTGGCGCTGTCGGTACGGAATATACTTGGTTCACCCCGCGCATCCCTTAGACCATGCTATTGATTTTTCGATTGCCACCGGCCTCGACTTCGCTCAAATGGTACATAAAAATCTAGTACATTAACAATTGCTTTACAATACGATCCATCAACCGCCCCCGAAAAAAAATCGCTAAAAACCACCCCTGCGGCCCGGAGCAAGCCGCATTGATTTGCCACATTACGTGACTAATGCAATGACAAGCTAGAAGGTCAGGAAAAGAGGCGCCACGACCTAATCAGCGAAAAAATCAACGACTTTACAAATACCTGGGGCTAAATTTGGCTCCCGGAGCATTTCATGCAAACGCGACAGCATTGGATTAAAATTGAGATGGAACAGCTTCATTGCAGGGTGGTTTAAATGCAAGTGGGTGTTAAGAATGTAAGGAATATACTTGTGGAGACAACAGTTATTGGACATTGTTCAAGCCATTTTATAGGAATGGAGACAAGTGCTATGCATTTTATAGCTAACGTTACTCGCATAGTGGGTTTTGTAAGGAACTAACTCAGGGAAAGACAATACGCGACAATGTATCCTTTCTAGTCAAAAGGAGCAGATGCCCAAGACACAAATTGTTCAGAAAGACAGAAGAATTTTATTATACAACATAATTATTACAAACCGAAGTCAATAATACATATTTTACAGTTGAAACTCCTGAATTCTGTACAATCAGTTTTAATATAGATTACCCTTGTCCGTCCAAAATAATGGATTTAAAAAACTTACAAAATATGTCTTAACTGAGACATCCTTTATAATGCTCAGTCAAAGTACCAATATCAGATATTAATGAAAGTATATTTAAATGTTGAAAATATGTTTAAAATGTTTGATATAAACAATCCGCATTGTTTACATTTTTGTAATATGTACTTAGAAACCATGTATCGTCATTTTTCAGTTTCTATTTATAAAAAATGGTAATTCACAAATTTATTATTATTTTTTATTTGATGTGCACTTGATATATACAAAACTTATCAAAGTGCTTGTATTATGACTTACCTACTGGCCGTTTTAACTTCAATTCAGAAGAGACATAAAACATACGCAAAATAGAAAACATCAAACTAGTTTTTTTAATATTCCCACTTTTAGCAAATATACTATGCAGTATGTCCCCGGATTGAGTTTACAAGAGGAAAAAAAAATTATCTTTAATTTTACGCCAAAACTGCAAAGGAAAAACATTTTTTGCTTTATCTGAAACCAGCAAATCTGTAATTAAAACATCATTATTCTAACTCAGTGGAAAGAAAAGTCATTTTTTCTCTTGTTTTTGGACTTGGACTTCTCTGCTTTGTAAGTCTTATCACATTGGCGGTTTTATTATTTTGGCAATGATGTCACTTTGACAAATGAGTTTACGCAAGTTAAATAACTAATATATTTGTAAAAAAACATAATTTTAATAAATGGCAACTGAAAGAAACAGTTTTAGGATAAGAAACAAAGTCATTTTTAACAAGAATTATCATTATTTAATTAATAAATTAATTGTCAAAGTGACATATAGTTGTCAAATAAATAAAACCGCCAATGTGATAGGACTTAAAAAACAGCGAAAAATTATACTAAGTCGAAAACCAAGAGAAAAATTAACTTTTCTTTTCACTGAATCGGAATAATGAAGTTTTAAGTACAGATTTGCTCGTTTCGGGTGAAGCAAAAAATGTTTTTCCTTTGCAGTTTTGGCGTAAAATCAAAGATAAAAAAATTTTCCTCTTGTAAACAATCCGGGGACATACTGTAGATGAACAGAAAGTATAAAACTAAACGTTTGTTATGTAAACAATTTGTGTTTTGGTGAATGATAAAAGTACCTACTACAGAAATATGGACGTATTTCAAGAAAAGATTTTTTTTTGTTTTTGAATTCTGCAAAATTTTTAATTTCTTCAAATGGCAACCCATTATAAAACCTTGTTTCACAAAGCCTTTGATCTAGAGATCACAACTATCGACAACCAACTATAAAACCTTTTTTCACAGCTACATTTTATTCAATTTTTATCGAAAAAATTTAATAACAAAATTTCATCTCAACACACGATTACATTGATTATAGCGCTTTAATTTTTATTAATCATTTTTTTCTGAAAGGTTATAGTCAACACTAACGAGGCATTAAATAATAATCATTTATCGCAATATAAACGTTTTTGTGATAGTTTTCAGCATTATTATTTTCCCTCAATTTGGAGTAGTAACACAATGAAAAATTGAAAAAATTTAAAAAAGTCAAACTAACATAGCTGCACTATTAACAAATAACTGTTAACAAACAAATGAATTACTATTCATTTAGGATTGCAAACATAAAAAAGAAGTACTTTTCCACCCTTAGCTTGCACAGCAATCAATTCTGACGTCTGTTAGGGGAAAAAAGGGTCATAGTTGCGCAGTCTACTTGTCGCCACTGAATTAATTTTAATCAGATGGACAGGAGGTGACGGCTAATAAGCCCATGCACGCAGTCTAACCTGCGTAAGTAACTCTATAAATAAAATAGGATAAAAATGATGTAAATGTTGAGTTAAAAAAGGCAGCAAACAATCTCTAAGCCCGGAGAAATATCTAGAAAATAAGAAACCAGCCTTTGCAAACAAAAGCAAAGTTCTTTGACTTTTTCTACGTATAATATAAGCAGAGAAAGCTCCAGCGGAATTTACGATTTAGTAAACATCTCATAATGTTACAAGTTTGTGTTCTCCACAAGATAATCAAAACATTGATATTTCCATCAACATTAACACACAAAACGAATTTCACGAATTATTCATTATTCCCAAAAACATTTTTTACCAAATTACTGTAATAACAATCAATTTGTCGGAAAAATTTATGCCATTCATTGAACAAGTATAATTGCTCCACTCTGAAATCAATAGCGATTTACTGCAATTTTATTGATGTTAGCATTTGCACAAATAACATCGTAAATGTGATGCTTTGCTTTATACAGTTTAACTTCAACAATAATTAACAAATCTGTAACCCCTAGCGAGAATAAAATGACAATAAAACACAGGTTTATTAAGTGGACTCCTGTAGGCTTTAACGGCAAATTCTCTCAGAAATTAACCTGCAACATCATTTTCCGGTCTAAAACCATTACGCTATTGTAATAGAATATTTTTTTATGGAAACAGCAGAGGTCATATTTGATAGAAATTGTTTTCATTTTTTTTATTAAAACTATTTTCTGATTAAATCAACAAACAAAACTGCAACAACCACATCCATTCAAATTCAAATGTAAATCAAAAGAATTCTGATTTGTTTTGGTGGAACAGTATTTTTATAGCCGTGGAATGAGGTTTATGTATGAATCATCATCAAAAGGATTTTTGTGTCTTCATGAAACCTTTCACTTTATGGGAGATTATACTTATTCAATGTAAAATTGGATTAGGAATAAAACCAATCAGAGGCATAAAACATTCAAACTCAGATTTAATATAATGTTTCAATAGATAAAACAGCGTAGGTAGGTAATTATGTATGCGTACTAATATTATGAATAAATAAGATAAAAATAATGATTATCTTATGCCTACCCACAGTTTTATGTGAAAAAAATAATAAACCATATAATAAGTATTATTCTACTTAAGTTAATTAGTTTAAAAAAATAATAAAATCAGTCCTAGCTAATTATCCTAATTATGCACGTAAGATGAGTCAAGAAGGAAATAACTACATTTTTATGAATACAAAAATTAAAATTGCTTAGTTTTTAATCGGAAAAAAAGTTAAAGCTCTTGTAAGTATTGACTTACCTACCTCCCCCTGCACAACGGAGAAAAGCGCTTAGCCCCAAAACCACTCATGCAGTTGTTGCAATATCCACTACTTTTTCTAACTAGAAAACTACGAAAATCAATACGAACATGAAAATTTCAGCACAGTACTCACTCAATGAAATAATTTATTGGTGTTATTAACCTCTCCACAGCCGAAGACAGACACTGAGTGAATTGATATTTGGAGTTGGTAGAAATGGTTCGATTGTCAAAAAGTGGGAGGCCAAGCCTCTTCCAAACCACACCTCTACCACTTATTTTAATAATTTCAGTTTTTTTTGTGCTATTATCATTACTTATTTTTTCCAACAAATTAAGCTCCCGTTGTATGTAAATGCTGCTTTAATTTTCTGGTTAACCGATTTGGGGGAATTGAGGCTTAGGGCATCACTGCTTGGCGGCAAGTATGAAATAAAAAGGTCGCAATCGGTAAAAAATATATTTCAGAAATCACAATTTATTACAAATTTACAATATAAATAAATTACAAAATTAATAATAACAAAAAATGAATCCATAGTCTTTCTACAAAATGAAGAAGGAAAAAAAACTTTATAAAAGTTGGCAGTACAATACATTATCTTCATAAATTAAGTTACGACTTCCCCTAGCTATTTTTGTTGAGATTTGGGTGCTGCAGCTGCAAATAAGAATTTATTTACAATGGTATCGGATCAATTCAGAAGGTAAAGGAGTGCAAATAAAAGCATAAAAGAAGAACCTAATCCTCTTGATCTACTCACACAATTACTTGGCTTTAGTTGGCTCTACTTCCAACCCAAAATCAAGAATTGAGTAACAAACTACAATCTACAGAGCACAATTTTAGTCACAGAAATACAAAAAATAAAAGTAGCGTTAGGATGTTAGGGATGCAAGGGATTCCCAAATGCCAACAACCAGTTAATTATTATCGATAAATTTTTACACTTTTTAACGCTTTCACCAAATGTTTTTAATTACGCCACGGTCTCTGACTTTAAAACAAAAATTAACTCCTAATTAACTAGTTATCAAAAAACTTTCGGAATTGTTTTTCAGTTACTACAACACAATCACCGTAAATTGTTGTAAATCGGGCACATAATACTAATGATTTGTGCCTGATCTTAATCAACATAATATATATTTGCACACCTCATACCTTCTTTTGAATATCCATACTGTGTGAGTAAATTAGCAAACATATCATCCAATATGCTATAAGTACCTGATGGACAAAAACACAATAAGTGACATAACAAATGAGTGCTCTACACGAAAAATTACCTGTTTGTTGGACAGAAGTGCTGCTTTTGTGACCGTTTGAACTCTGCGGGTAATTATTATTAGCGTTCTGAAATGAAACAACAACAAAAACAATTATACATTTTTTTATTTGATAGACTTCAATTAATTCGACCGATTACCTGATAATATTTATCACCAGTAACCATGCTGGGCCCACTGTTTGAAATATGCGGATACCTATCAGTACTATAAAAACAAAAAATAAATAAAAAATCCTCACAGAAAAAATCAACTAGACCTATTATAGCTTTTGTTGGAATTTGACGAAAACTGATTGAGAGCACTAAACAATTGTTTTTGAAACTCGTCCTGAAAACTGGTATTGTATTCACTTTTATTATAATCGTATCTCTGCATGGTGCTAGCTTCATGTGTCGTTTTCGGCGCGAAACTCTTATTCACCGCGATAACGGAAACGGCTGAACTAGTCTGAGCCGGTTCAGACTTTTTCGGAGACGACATTTTCTGCAAAACTTTCAAATTCTCCATAACCTCAAAAATATCGTCACCGGCACAGCTCGTCTTGGGCTTGGACTCGACTTTGGGGTAAGTCGGGGTAATACTGAGTTCGTGATGTTTCGACACGTGCTCGGAAATCATCGGGCTGATACTAGTCTCCTTCTTAGGAACACTCTTCACTTCTTTCTTCAACTCGGTTTTATCAGATAAGTCTATAACTTGGCAGTAATTATCATCACTTTTCTTCATTGGATTAAACCCATCACTGTCTATATAAATAACACTATCGTCACTAATCGGGATGATTGGATCCTTCCTCACATGGTTGCTCACAGGTGGCTTGAGCAACTCACTTGAAGGTTTCACTTTTAACTTGCCCTCAAGCTCTTTTTTAGGTGATGCCGGAGAGATATCACAAGGTTGCGACGTTTCTGGCAGTGTTTTCGTAAATTTACTAGGTTCGTAAGTTTTACTAACAGTCACTTCGTTCGTTACACTAAGAATTTTATTACCGCTAGTTTCGCTTTTTGAAGCAGGAACTATTGGTGTTATCGATAAATTAGAATTATTAAAGCTTTGTGGAAGATTTTTAACGATCGGGTTGGAGTTTGAGCTTGAAGATTTAGTTGGAATTGTATTACTTGATGTACTATTCAAAGAATTATTAAGGAGACGCTTCGGATCAGCGTAGGTCGTGTAAATTTTATTAAGGGCATTCATGGACATCCAGCCATCAGGCCACAAAACTTGGATTTCGGTTTTGAGGAATGTTGTCATTTGGGCATCTAAAGTGTCTTTACTTTTCCCTTCAAATAAAAGACTACGTTTCTTCAATATGAGGATATCCTTCAATAGTTTCCTTCAAAATTAAAAAGTAGCAAAGCAATACATTGTAAACGAAAAAACATACTTAGTCACTTCATTCCACTGGAAACGCCGTTTCGGCATCCTCAAACACTTATTTTCCTCATTGTCGACACTTTCGTGCGAAAATCTGAAACCAACACGATAAGTGCAAGCCAAAGGATACCTTTTTCCCACTTACTTTTTCTGAATAATACGCTGACTCTCTTTTTCGTAGCTCTCCAGCAAGCTTGGCATAATATTATTTATTTCTGACTTCAGCCTAAATCAAATAATTAGCAAAAAGTAATAAGCAAAGATAAAACTGACCCTGATAGAAGATTTTTCAACTTTTTCTGTTCATCATCCAATACTAGACTCTTAGCCCGTCTGGTTAACGTCTCAGTTTTGCATTTTAGAAACGTGGCTAAATGTTCGTAAACCTTCATTTTTGAAGGCTTACCCAAACATTTACATTTGCGTTCTAATCTGCAATTATTATGTATTTAGTTGTATAAATTCACTAAACTTATAATTACCTTAAAATAAGAATGTTGATATCTGATGTAAAAATATTTTTCGGGTCTGAGTTCAACTCAGCTGATTTTTTTATAGCTGTGATCACACTTGAAATATCAGGAGACAAATTTTCTGGTAACTTAACAACCTCTAATTTAACCGCTCGTGTGTTATCATGACTAGATTCTCCATCAGAAGTAGAATTAACTGCAAAAAAAAAATCCATCGATCAAAGTGCTCTTTTTTATGTTAGTGGAAATTTACCAACAGCTTTTGTTGGTGTATTTTGATTGGTTTCGGTTCGGTTTGTATCTCCAGTTGAAGCTTTCACAACCGATTCTATAACGTCTGTAACATTTGATATGGACATGTTTTTCTTCTCTTTTTGATCTTCATCAATGGAATCGAGCTTGAGCTCTTCAGGAATGGTCATATTCAAATCTTCCCGCTTCTCCCTCAAAAGCTCCTTAACTGTTTTCTTATCCGGATCTAACAACCGTCTTTTCTTTATATAAATTTTATTCTGGGCCAACAATTTCTTCTTTAACGATTGTTGCATGCCATTTCCACCGTTTTGTAATTTACGCTTCTACACAAAAAAAAATATAATTTCTGTCACAAAATTCAAGATACAAACTTACCTTTGTCACGGTACTTGAATTATCTACAGTCTCAGTCTTATTTTCTCTATCAGTCTCATCTGATGATTCAATAATTCTCTAAAGCAACAAAACCAATCAATTTCCTCTCATACATTTTCAAAAAAAAGTTACCTTTCGACTAGCCGTCTTTCCTGAACCTTCGTCGTCAGATGAACTTGAAGATATGTCCGACTCTGCCTCATCATCTGTTTTAAACTCCAGCGCTCCACTATTTATGTAAAATCCCCCATGTAGCGTTGTGACATTTTGAGGGATCATTTCGTCATAACCATCCGTATTGTCGATAAAAGAATCAGATTCGTCGTAACCCATCCCGATATCAGCATAATCATCCTTTCGACCTTTCCGTTTCTTCTTATTTAAAGATGTACCAGTACCCTAAATTACCATTAAGAAAAATCAAAAAGTGATTTTGGTCACTCACATATTTTTCCTCCATTTGACGGGCGATTCTTTTGACATCATCATCGTCGTCGAACTCGTCAAATTTATTCAAACCGTTCGCAGTTCCGCCTATTTCTTTGTACTTAATACGTTTCTGAAAAAAATTAAATAAACTCGTTTATTTAGCATACCTAATTGTTAACCAGATCATAACTGTTATTATTTATTCTCAAACCGTGCTTCCTTTAAAATCATAAATATGAGTCATCGCCAATGAGTTTAACAAGGTGTCAAAATAAAAATTGTTATTGTTACATTGGTAATTCATACCAAAGCATTATTTTCAATATTCAGGTTACACTTGTAAGCTATCTAAACTAGTTTTAAAAAAGTGTAGTTGAAACCAACGCGGTAACAAAACATAGTAATTTTGATTTGAAAAATATTGTCGATCCTCGTAGTCCGACCACTTGGAGTCTCTGCGCTCCTGTTCCTTCGTAAACCTCGGTGCATCGAAACCCAAACGGTATTCAACAAGTTCACACCAACGCCGCCAATATTTTCGATTTCAAACAAGCTTGTAATGTAACTAATTCTTAAACTATTATAATAAAAGGTCATCTACCTTAGTTATCAATCATAAAATGTCAAACTAATCTATGTTTCACTCATAATACAATAATAATTTGCCTTATTTTGAATACATAAGGTTAAATGCGTAGTCATTTCCAGTCGTCGGACTCCTTATCCACACTTCAGCGTGCAAAAATTACAATGCGAGGCGAAAGCCGAGCCATAACCTTAGACAATTTATAAATAAATTTATCTAATAGTACAAATACACAAAATAATAACAGCGTAACTAAATCGAAAGCGATCGAAAGTAAACAATTACGTAGTAAATTTTATTTTTTTTACCTTTTTGTTTAATTAACGGAGACCTAATTAAATAGATACAAAAACAAACAGAAAAAGTTTTTCCTTAAGTTTTGTGATTTCAAAATTTATGTCAGAAAATAAATAGACTTTTTAAACACTACAAATTATACTCAAACATGTTACTAAAGACAAAGTAACATGCACATTATGTTATTTAATTGTTCAATAAAATACTATATTCACAGTATTCACTACGAAACAGTAAATTTGCAAAATGCTTAGAAAAATAGTAAAATACTAAAGAAATAGTAACAGTAAAAAAAATTAAAAAATAGTGAAATACTAAATGTTTGATAACCTTCCTACATGTAACACAGGTTAAAAATACCAAAGGTTCCGTAATAGTAGATTACATACTGAGATGGAAGGTGCTTCATTACCAAGGCGGGGATTGATGGTCAAGCAACAACCACCAAAGTTTGTATATTATTTTATTCACAAACATGCTAATTAAAGAACAGAAAGCCAATAAAAAAATTATCAAATTTTGGAAAAACATGACATGACAAAAGTTAGAAAGTGTCAACTCCTTATCAGTTTCCAAGTCGGGAAATGGTCATTTTCGGCTTCGCCTTGTGTGTAAATCCTACACACGCGTTGGGGAATCTTTTAGTTTTTCCGCTCGTACTGTAATATACTATTAATATTTTACTACTACCTGCATTACTATTAAATAATAGTACTCAACATTTTTTAAATATGTAGGTAGGTATGTACTGTATTTATTTTAAATTATAGAGATTAATTTTACGCTAACCTTTCAAAAATCAATTCTGTAAACATAAGAATGCAATTAAAAAACAAATCAGATAACACAAATAAATTTGCATGCTTTAAACCCTTTTTTAAAAATAAAAATTTAGATAATACTTCTGTGTTTACATTATTGTCTGTTAAAATACATGGTCAGAAGATAAAACAAAACACAAAACGTAATAAAAGCTCAAAAAAATAAATCAACGCTAAAATTGAGCATAAAATTAGGGTGCACGTAATTCCACTTCTATTTCCTGTAAAACGACAAAATAAGTTCTTATATTTCTAGATAAGAAATGGTTGCCGATAAAAATTGACAACACTTCGGTTTCGTATTTTTGACCAAACTGGTAAATAATTAAAGGAACTACACAATTGCGGATAAAGTTAATTTAACATCGAGGATAATACGATTAACATGTAAATTAGAGCAGGAATTCGGTCCAACAATTATCATCAATTGAAATTTGAGCGTATTTAAAGCCCCTACCACGATTTCCGTTTAATGAGCAATCTGCGCGCGTTTCCTGAAAGTAAAATTAAAAACAAAATGCATCAAAGTCACCGAAATACTGGCATGAATGAAATCCTTTATGCAAGATGTAGATAAGGACTAGATTCGCTCAACACTCGTAACCCACAGACAAACCAACAAACCGTTGTTGTTGTGATCTTCTCGACTTTCTGTGCTCCTGATATTTGCGCGCGATATTCCGGATAGTTTTTAACATTTCTTGTTAAAATATTAATTTATTTTGTTTATAAATTTATTTTTATTCAAAGTTTTCGCATCGCTCACTTCTGAATCAATTGATTGATTATCTCGTCGAAATTTAATCGATTTTCTCCGAGAATGTTCCGACTGCGGAACTCGCCCGCTATCTGCTTATAAATAGGTGTCAAAAACCCGAAAAAAATAGAATGGTTTGTGAAATAATTACTAGTTTTCTAATAACAAGCGATGTGAAATGGTAATGCTAGAATAAGAATTAAAGTCCGTGCGCGCGAAACAAGGAGGCTGCGAATGGTAGTGTTCAAGTGTTTGAAGAAAAAAGCCGATAAATAAATCCGGGGCACGGCTGCCAACATTCTTAAATGAAAAACGTTAATTATTTTCTAAACAAATGAAAGTCGTGCTGTTGCAATCGACGGCGAAATCGGGGCTATTCGAGTTGTCCTAGGCTGCGACTCGTGATCGATCTAAAAGTCTGGGAGGTGGCCAGGAGTGTCGCCCCAGGGGGCCGCAAAACTCCTAGTCCGGCCCAGGCCACCTAGTCCTTTTTTTGTAATGCATACCCTTCAAATATGGCGACGCGAATGTAAGCTACATAATTAAGGCGAATGTGGGACTGCAGGTTGCAGCTCCGGCCTGCAGCCCCATGCCGGGGGCGACTCCAGGTGCGGCACGTTCCGGATGTTGTCGTCGAATTTCCGACTTGGTGGAAATGCAGTCGTGGACATTTTCGATAGAATTACCTTTGCAGCAGCAAGTTCATCTTTATAGTTGTATTCCGGGCATGTGTCTTCGGTGGACTCGGGTAGAACAACGGATATCCTTACGCTTTTGCGGGGCTCTTTCGGTGACTTGTCCGACTCTTTTTGGGGTCCTAATGGAATCAGCGGGGCACGTTTTATTTCTGACATTATTTCATAAGAACTAACTGTTCAACATCACAACACATTACAATTTCGCTCCAACATGTTTGAAACACACTAGCTCAAACAAACCACGAATACCAGTTTGAATATGCGTGCGCACGCCACTGCGCACATTTTGACATTTAACATATGATAAAAATAAAAATAAGAAAACTGTAATATGGATAAACAGAAATCTGTAAATTTTACCTTCTAAGTGTTGCCTTTAGCTGGCGTTACTTTTTTTAACTCGTAACAACGTTGATTAACTTCCAGCGCAAAATTCAAAATCCAAAAAATGTAGTATTTTTTTTGTTTTTGAAAAAATATTAAATTTAAATTATTTGTTATTAATACATCCCACGTCGTTTCTATTTAACATTTGTGGTTCTATCTACAATTCACTATTATAAATTCTATCTATAATTCACTTCAATGAATTACAAATACGATTTTTTTTACAATAAGTTACAATAGCATATTACGTATGTACAAGTGGACAAACATACAGGGTGTGTCAGAACTCGCGCTCCAGAGAAGAATTCCAAGTAAGATAAGATACCAGGAACATATGTTTAAAAAATTCTATCTGTCAAAAAATTTTGACATTTATATTTTGACATTTGACATTTTTTTATGTCTATTTAATGATACTGATAATCTTGTATATGTTTTTTTTTATAATTATTTAGTAAAGGTACAATAAAAGCCACAAATAACATTAAACAGAGTTACAATTTAGAATACAGCTTCCTTGTTTCCTCTTCTAGTGGCCTGGAACAAAAAAAAATGGAAAATTAGTTTTTCAACAGAAATAAATACAAATTTTAAACTCTCATAACTTTGAAATTTCTATAGATAGAATTTTTTACATTTTTTCCATGTTCCTGGCATCTTATACCTTGCACGGCATTTTTCTCTGGGGCGCGAGTTCTGGCGCAGCCTGTATACAAGCAGTGAAGTAGCAAGTAATATAAATCTGAACATACATAATCTCTTTACAGTCAGTAGTAATGTACTATATCTTTTCTACGAGCATACAAATAATTGTAAAATATTCAAGTCAAATAACAATGTTGAAAACATCACCAAATAAGAAAATACTCAAATATAATGATTATAAAACAGCTCAGTCCTTCAAACCCATCACAAATATCACTGTAACTCGCACTTTGTATAATTTTGTGAAAAAATCACTTTTTGTCACACATAAAACTTGTTTTTTTTATTAAAAATAGAAAAAGCTATTTAGATTGTATGTTCGTATGTTCAAGCAATTTAAAAAACAATACACTAGGGTAAATGTGCCAGTTGTAGGCCAACAAATTTTTGTTTATAAAAACTGACCAAAAATTGATTTTACGTCGAATCAAGTTGAAAATTGTTGTTTGTCATACAGCCATACAGAGTATAGAATGGAATCTTCACCATTATTTTACTTCATCATTAGTAATAAAATCTCGACAACACGAAAATACAAAAATACCAAAGGTCGACCACATAGAATATGACCATCATACAAAACCAAAATTTTAAGGTAGTTAAAAAACAGAAGAATATTTTACACTGCAAATTTAAATACTTTGGCCATATTCTTTTAAATTCAAACTTTATTTTATCTTATTTGTATTATCAGCATTATTATTGTTTATTTTTTTGTAGTATGTTCATGTCAAATTTGTTTAATTACTAATTTTACTATGTTGTAATAACTAATAAATGACACTTATTGTCATGTGAGTAAAGTATAAGGTTTTGCAATTTTTGTCGCACTTTTATTAATTGTAAAAATAATATGTAATTTCACGTAAAACAATATTAAGTTAATAGATATGACCTAAAACAACCATAACCCATTTTCATAATCGTTTATAAAAAAATTATTTCTACATTTATGATATTATTATGTGAAATTATTTGTCGCAATTTTCTAAAGCATTTATGCTTTTCATTCGTATGCGAAAATAATTGATTTTTTAATTCACTATAAAGCCATTTTAGTGTAATAAAAATTACTTTAAAATTGCAATAAAAGTGGGTGGAGGTATGGATGTTTTATTAAATATTTTAAACCTGCATACGTGCATGTGCTCTGGTTGGGTAATAAATATTTGTTCTTGATATTGTTATTTAATCAGATAGAAATTTTGCTGTTGAGAATAAAAATAAGACTGCAGTTGCAGTAGGCATAATTACTCGTAATTATGTTACATAAAACTTTGGATAAGCCGCTCGCTTTAAATCGAATATTACCTAATTTTAATCAATACTCAAAAACAAATAATTATTTAATTTATTATAATTCTGTGATACTTTACGATACCTAAAAAGGGAAAAGCGGATATTAAACAAACAAGAGACTTTGCAAAATAATTGATTATTTTCCGCCCTGTTGCATAATTTCCCAAGCAATTAAAAGCAGATTCATTGACTATTCCCCACTTTTAAAGTTTATGTTTTCTACTTAATAAGTAAATAAGAAGCCTTCTTGGGGTGTTGGAGGGGGACCTGGCGGAACCTTACGGTCGGGTGGTCTCAAAGTTAGTTCGATCATATCCAAATATGATAGTGCTGTAGTTACAAGCAATTAAAAAAATGAAATTACTAAGAGCTGCGACACGTGTAATTAGTAGTTCGAGTCAGCAACAACAAAGTGTGTTTGGCGCAATTGAAAAAAGTCAATGTAAAGAATGGATAAATGCTGTGCCCTATGATGAGGTTCCTGGACCAAAACCTCTGCCTTTTTTGGGCAATACTTGGAGGTTTATCCCTTACATAGGTATTGTACTTGTTTAAACTTGTTTTATTTTATGTCTGAAATTAAGGCGATTTTCAAATCGAACACATCGACAAAGTTTCAAAAAAATTGTACGAAAAATATGGTAAAATTGTCAAAATGCAAGGCTTGTTAGGACGTCCTGATATGCTCTTCCTCTTCGATCCCGACGAAATCGAGAAAGTTTTTCGCCAAGAAGACACTCTTCCCTTTCGCCCATCCATGCCCTCACTCGATTATTACAAACACGTCTACCGAAAAGAATTTTTTGGCGACAATTGTGGAATAATCGCGGTGTAAGTGTTTATGAATTTTCATTGTTGCTTCAATTTTCTAAAATCCAGACATGGCGACAAATGGCAGAACTTTAGGTCGAAAGTTAACCAGATTATGTTACAACCACGAGTTACTCGGATGTATGTCAAGTCCATTGAGACGACATCTCAAGAATTGGTCGACAGGTAAGTCAACACTGTTGAAATCGTTGGCGCACGAAATGAAAAATTTTAAGTGGAGCGAATCAGAAATTTTTAACTTTCTTTCGACAGGATTGAAGTAATTAAGAATGAGAAAAACCAAGTGCCTGATGATTTTCTCAACGAGATTCACAAGTGGTCTTTGGAGTGTAAGTAAATAAAAATAATAGTTTTTTTAACTAGTATTTGAAAAGCTATCGCCAAAATCGCACTTGATGTCAGACTGGGTTGCCTGGACTCCGACGCCCACCCCGACACTCAAAAATTAATCAACGCAATCAATACCTTTTTCATGAACGTTCCGGTTTTGGAACTGAAAATCCCGTTTTGGAAAATCTGGAATACACCAACTTTTAAAGAATATTTGAACGCTTTGGATACAATACGAGAGTAAACAATCCCAAATTGCTAAACATTAAGTAATCAATAAAATTACTTTTAGAATAACATTAAAACATGTTGACATTGCTTTGCATAATTTATCCCAAGACTATTCTGACGAGCTTTCAGTGTTACAACGAGTTCTAAAAATGGAAAACGATGCTAAAACAGCATCCAATTTAGCATTGGACATGTTTCTCGTCGGAATTGACACCGTAAGTGTTATTTCCTGTTACCACACACAAGTATTGTTGAGAGTAAGTATGTCATTAAAATAATACTTTCCGGCCTTGTGAGGACAATTAAATGCAAATATGATGCAGTTTTGCAACAAAGAAGACGCGCTCATTGTATTTTGTAATTTAACATGAAGCTAAAAATTAACTAAGACTTTCTTCATTTAATTGCTAAATTAACATTCAATAAAAAATTGAGAATGAACAATGACAAAAACATAAAATTCTTCATAGTATAGGAACGAAATTATAAAATCCATCTACTTTAAAAAATCTAGGTTTGAACCCGAATCTGACCAACACTTTTTTTATAAATAACTACATAAAACAACCAATCATGTAACTGGACACAATTTAACTATAAGATATAATAATAAATAATAATAATATAATAAGAAAACAAAATCTTTTTAATAAAAATAATGTAATGAAAATATGTTCGTAGGTTTGAATGATAATAATTAATGTATACAATGAGCGGCAAAATTATGGAATAATAATCTTATTAAAACTGAACATATTTTGTTTCGACAAAAATACTCAAATAGGTCAATTTTCTTCTTTTAAAAAAATACACAATTTTCAACTTGATTTAAAATTTTACACTTTTTGATTTTTGAGAAATGACGTCATCGACATTTGATTAAATGAAAATCCCTAATTTTTTAAGCTTTTTCGATAACTTTCATAATTGTTG